CAGACCTCCAGGTGCTTGGGGCAGAAATTGTACTTTCCCTCCATGTGTTCATGGCACGGGCCTGCGCTCAGCACATAGACCCTCCAGCAGGGCCCCACTGGAGTCCGTGGTCTCTCCATCCCCTGCCTGCCCTCCCGACGTGATCATCTGCTCTCTCTCATAAGACCAATATTACATGGCCGTGTGGTCACAGCTTGCCTCTGATGCCGTGTGTTCCTGATTTTACTTTCTCCATCTCCTCCTTTCTCTCAGTGGAACAGGACTCTTTCCCTCCTCTGAATTCATACAGCAGTTTCTCTCTACTTCTCCTACGTTGCTTATGACTTTTCCCGTAATATAATTTTCAGTATTTACGATATTCTCTATTGTAAGTCTCTCCAGGCTGAGGGCTAGCCCTTGCAAGATGAGAAGGGCAGGAGGGGAGGCCTCCAGTTTGCTACTGTAAAGAAACCCTGCTCTGGGGGAAGGGGAGGGTGGGGCCAGCTGAGAGAGTAGCATTGACATGTGTATTACTGGGTATAAAATAGACAGCTAGTGGGGAGCTGCCGTAAACACAGAGAGCCCAGCTTTGCACATTGTGAAGACCTAGAGGGGTGGGATGTCGTAACACACACACACACACACACACACGCTTTAACACTTACGGCTGATTCCCATCGTTGTATGGCAGAAACCACCACCACATCGTAAAGCAACTATCCTCCAATTAAAAATAAACAATAATAAAAAAGAAGCACTGCCATCACTTTGGCACACGTATCGTCTGCTGTCTTCCTCTGTCTGCAGTAGATGTGCAGTCTTGCATCATCCTAAGCATAATGTCCGGAGGCGCTCCACTTTTAATCCCCTCCTCCTCGGCTGGGCGTGTGTAAGCGGTGTGTAGTGCTTTAGCTGTTTTACCCAGACTTTAAAGGACTTGCAGGTGCTGTTATAAATGGCTTTCAGAAGAATAAAATCTCTGGTGGTTTGGAGGACAAAAATGATTTGCTTTAAAAAAAAAAAAAAAAACTCTCTGCTCGTGTCAGAACCATGAAATAGTGTAGTTGGAAACCTGCTCTCCCTGACTCTTGAGTGGTGTAGGTGAAAATGTGACTTCCGTGTTTGCGTCCGTGTCAGCTGACCCGCACCCCACTGTCAGTCAGCTGCTGAAGGTGGGCATCAGTGTCCCAGCGGGACTCTCCCTTAGAGCCCAGTCACAGAGCTTGTCAGAGCCGTGTGATTTGTCAGACAGGGCATCTCCCACTGTCCAGGGCTTACCTGGTGGCTCAGTGCTAAAGAAGCCAATCACAATACAGAAGATGCAGGAGATGCTGGTTCGATCCCTGAGTCGGGCAGATCCCCTGGAGAAGGGCATGGCAACGCACCCCAGTATTCTTGCCTGGGAAACCTCACGGACAGGGGGGCCTGGCGGGCTGCGGTTCACAGGGTCTCAGAGAGGCAGACATGGCTGAGGTGACGGAGCGCTCACACACCCTGTCGCAGTTGGGGAAGTTGAGGGTAGAAAAGAAAGTGAGTGAGCTCACCAGCCAGTCTGAAATTGATTACGCTCAGGTCCTCTGTTGTAACTTATGTTAATCCCATTAAATCTGTGAGAGTGCAGTACTGTTTATATGAAAAAATATATACATACACACATTTTTAGATATCACGCTGTAAATAAATATAGTCCTCTATAATTATCCTGATAGCCTTCTAGTCAGATTACCTTGAAAACCCAAAACGATGCTGATGAACAGTAAAGCATTATTATTTCATGGTTCATCTGTATACCTCCTACGTAGACGCATCAGCATGATACTTGTATCTAACAGGATTAGCAAATTACATACCTTTTTGGTATCTGTAACATGCCTAAAATACCATTTTGCATTCTTTGGCCAGTTAGGAAACCACTCTGATGTTGCCAGAGGAGGCTTTGTTCACCCCTATAGATGGTCTTTAGGTTTCCCATTCCATTCTAAGAGAGACGAGATTCTCTTTTTCTGGTTGTTTAAGTCTTCCTTTATTCACATTAAAGAGATGTCCCGTTTCTACTCACACTTTGTGATTTGTCTTAATTCACTACCCTCTGTGCAGGGGTAATTTTAGCGAACATGAATTTTTTTTTTGCCTTGACAAACTGCCAGCCAGGTTAAGCTGGGGAGAGTGTGGCTGTGGGATTGTCGGTGCTGTTCGGAGGGAGGTCCCAGGGCGTGACGGGTGGCGGCCAGAAGCAGGCAGCCAATCAGAAGCACGTTTCTCCTCTGTGCTTCCGTGGTCTGGAGCTGGGTGTGCGTGCCTCTCTAGTGAATGCTTGTGGGCAGCTTCATTTACAGTGCATGCGTGCTAAGTCATTCCTGCGGCAGTTGTATTTACCCTCCTTTCCCCTTTCTCCTGTCTTAGTGTTCCAGCTCTGGTTTAGACCCCTGCTGTCTCTAGCTGTCAGGCTCTCTTCCCCCCATCTCATCTTTCCCCCCCATGTTTCATCTTTCCTCTGTTAAATTCATCTTGTACCCCAGTTCCTTTTCTAAAACGAATATCTGACCCTGATTTTTTTTAACCCCCAAACCTCCAGTGATTTCTTACTGCCTGCAAAAAAAAAAAAAAAAATCAGGATTCTCCAGCTGGTCTTTCTAGGCCTTCACAGGTGGCTGGCATGACAGATCAACCACCCTTTGGCTCCGCAGGATCACTAGATGCAGGGTGGGTAGCGCCTCTGCTCTCCTCCAAGTGCAGCACACCCCGTTGGTCATCACTTCTGTCTGGAGTTCTTTCCTCCGTGTGGATCGTGCTCCCCCTCCCCTTCTCTCGCCTCTCCATCCTCCCACACCATTTGGAATGCGGTCTCAGTCAAATGGGAGCCAGGATACTTTGTTTTCAGGCCAAAATGTCAGAAGCCAATTGTTTCACCTCACACAAGCCATAACATCTTCTGGCTTTCTCAGAAGTAAGAGGAGGAGGCGGAAGTCGATGATCCCTAAGATCTTTTCAGCTTGAAAATGCGCTCTTTAAATGCCACAGCTTTGTGGGGCCTTCCTACATTCTTCCAGGCGGCGTAAATCGCTGTGCCCCCGAATGCTTTATCTCTTCTTTTTACTGGACACGCAGCTTGTGTCCTGGGGAGACAGATGCTTGTGGCCACCTCCCACCCCCAGCAGCTGTCAGCTACTCCAGGCCAGCAAGAACCTTCCACCCCACGTTTGCATTTCCTCCCCACCCCCGTGCCCACCCACGCCTGGGCCCGCTCACAGCAGGGTCCTTAGTGCGGCAGACTGTACAGTGGAGGAGAAAACGTTCTGGGCGAGTATTCTTCCATAGCACCTGCTGTTCCTGACTGTTCCCCTGCGTTCGGAAGGATGTGTTTTTGGTGTCAGCAACATAGAGACGGGGTAATGAGCACACCAGAGTTTTCCTCTCTTGGTGGCATTATCATTATAATCAGGTGACATTCCGGGAAATAGCAAAGTTAGCTTTGTAGCTTGTGCTCTGTATAAAAATGTGTTTTCTCTATTAAATGTTTAGAAGTAAGTGTTCAGTGAAGCAGAGGAAACCGTGCCTGTTCTCTTTCTATCTCATCGAGACTTGGACTATCCCAATGTATCACTGAAATATTCGGATGTTTATAATACAAAACAGCGCTTCCCATGTGGCTCAGTGGTGAGGAATCCGCTCGCCAAAGCAGGAGCTGCAGGTTTGATCCGTGGAATGGGAAGATCCCCTGGAGGAGGGCCTGGCAACCCACTCCAGTATTCTTTCCTGGAGAATCCCATGGACAGAGGAGCCTGGCAGGCTACAGTCCATGGGGTCGCAAACATCTGGACACAACTCAATGACTAAACAACAGTACAAAACAGTGGCAAAGACCTTTCCTGAGACAGCCTCTGTGGGTTTGTTTACTCGTTGGAAGTCAAAGCCTCTGTGGCCTGTTTTGTTCTCCCTGATGGATAGATTTGATCAGATCATGACCTTGTTCAGAAACTTATCTCTCTCAACTTCAAATTTCATTCCACAGTGTTCTCTGATGCACCTTCCTGTCCAGAGAACATTAGCTCCTCGCTGTTTCCCTTACAAACTCCCGTACTTTTCTGCACCTGCCTTTCTGCAGCCATTTCCCCTAAGGTGACCCCCACCCCCGGCCCCCGCCACTTCTACTGCACACCAGAACTTCACTAATTTTTGCGACCCGCTCCACAAAGCTTTCTTTGATTTCTGACCAAAATTCTGTTACTGTCATACTGGTGCCTAGATTAGGATTAATCTGTTTTACCAGACTACAAGTGCCTTGGTGTCACTTTTCATGTCTGAACATGAAAGCATCAGTCGCTCAGTCGTGTCCGAATCTTTGGGACCCCATGGACTGTAGCCCACCAGGCTCCTCTGTCCTTGAGATTCTCCAGGCAAGATACTGAAGTGGGTAGCCATTCCCTTTTCCGGGGGATCTTCCTGACCCGGGGATTGAGCCCGGCCTGGGTCTCCCGCATTGCAGTCAGATTCTTTATCATCTGAGCCACTGGGGAAGCCCCATTTCAAGTCTAATTTATCTGGATTTTGTCCCTCACCCCAGTGTCATCCTTTAGTTTAATCTGCATGAGGTCGGCAGATGCCAGGAATGAGTAAATCTTTGTGAACCATGTTACATGGTGTAGAAAAGGTATGAATGAGTGACAGAGCTGGCTGTTTTGTTATCGTATTAATCTAAAGTGTCTAAGCTCTAATTTTAGAATCTTAACAACGTGCCTGAAACAAAAGTAGTGTATGTTGTGTAAAACAGTTACATTTGAAATTATAATGCATTTAATGTGTCACCCTATCCTCAAATCTGTCGTGTCTTTTAGATTCTGTGTTGTTATTTCAGTCCACTCTGTGTAAAAGGGAATGCGAAGTGTTTATATACATGTTGTTAGGTTTGAATTTTGGTGTTTGACAGTGATGTGTTATTTTTTCCCTTACCGTATATTTGTGTATGCTTTTATCTTTCACAAGCTACTGATTCTATGCTTTGTGCTTGTCTTATGTTGCAGATTAATATCCTTTCAAGAATTTGTGGCATTCGAATCTGTCCTGTGTGCCCCGGATGCTCTGTTTATGGTGGCCTTCCAGCTGTTTGACAAAGCTGGCAAAGGAGAAGTTACTTTCGGTAAGCGGTGTGTGTGCACATCTAAGGACATGCAGACTTGTGCGACCAGTTGGAGTTTTTCCCCAAGAATGAAGTAGATGGAAATGCTTTTTAAGAAGCTCGGCTGTCCCTTTGAACAAGATATCCCAGTGTTTTCAGGCTCTAATGCTTCAAAAAATGTCTTCCTTCATGAAAAATTGAGTTTCTGGCTTATTATTATTATTTTTAAATTATCTTTGGCTGTGCTGGCCCTGGTTGCTGTGCCGCAAGCTCCCGCTCGTTGTGGCCAGCAGGGGCTACTTTCTAGTTGCTGGGAGTGGGCGTCTCGTTGCAGTGGCTTCTGTTGGCATGGAGCGCGGGCTCTGGCACACAGGCTCAGCAACTGTGGTGCCCAGGCTTCGTTACTTTGCAGCATGTGGGGTCTCCCTGGAGCAGGGATTGAACTTGTGTCCCCTACATTGGCAGGCGGATTCTCAACCACCGCACCACCAGAGGAGTCTGGGCTCAGTAGTTTTGACACGGTGGTTTAAGGTGAGGAAGGATGGAGCATGACTTAGTCACAGGGTTATAGAAAGGGAGAGGCAGACAGGATTTGACTGTCCAGCGCATTCCTTTCATGGTCAGTAGTGCCTCTCCAGATAGAAGGAAGACATTAATACAATGCCTAGGAAGAGAGGGGGCTCTGTTCCCCAGTACCTTGTGTCCTCACCCTGGGCTCATGGAGTGGCTGAAATCCAGAGGTAGCACGTGAGATGGCAGTTCGGAATGGTATGTGGCAAACCTTGTTTTTCTAAATAACATGGTTCCCTCTGGCTGGACTGGGAGTGTCTGTTATCCCACCACCACCTTCTTCTGAAAAGGCAGTACCATCTTCACAGGGGTCAGCTGCTAAGCTGCAGAAACCCCTGAAGTCTTTGAGTATTAGAAGATAGGGAAAGCCAGGACGTGGTGGGGCAGTGGTAAGTTTTTTTTTTCTTTTTAATACACTGGTTACTGAAGATACATGAGGCAGAAGGTACCCCATTTCTCTCGGACTATGCAGTGTCTAGTGTATGTTGTCTGCGTGTGTGAACTTGGTGTAAACAGTTTTGCCATAAAGAATTTCGGAGCTCCTTTGCACAAATTGTGCATTCAGGGGAAATGGCTAATGCACCTATTTTAAACATCTCTGTTGTTTCTCATTGATTCTTGGGCTTGTCTTCCTTGTAAGGAATGTATAGATGGGGGAATACAGATGGTGTAATAGAGCACCATCTATTCTGGGTCGTTCTAGAGTTGGAGAGACTTAGCTCCTTCCAAAGGAACTATGGTCTTTCCAGTAGTCATGTATGGAAATGGGAATTGGACCATAAGTAAGGCTGAGCACAGAAGAATTTTGAACTGTGGTGCTGGAGAAGACTCTTGAGAGTCTCTTGGACTACAAGGAGATCAAACGAGTCAATCCTAAAGGGAATCAACCCTGAGCACTCATTGGAGCAATTGATGCTGAAGCTGAAGCTCCAATACTTTGGCCACCTGATGTGAACAACTGACTCATTGGAAAAGACCCTGATGCTGGGAACGATTGAAGGCAGGAGGAGAAGAGGGCAGCAGCGGATGAGGTGGTTGGATGGCATCACCAAGTCAATGGCCATGAACTTGGATGAATCCCGGGAGATGGCGAGGAACAGGGAAGCCTGGTGTGCTGCAGATCACGGGGTCGCAGAGTCGGACACGACTTAGCTGCTGAACAAGAGCGACACTCCTTCCAGCTTTGCCACTTTTGTCTTGAGCCAAGCTAGTGATCCTTTCAGGTCTTGAGTTTCCTTATGAGAAATGAAGGTAATAATTACATAAAGTCTAGGTAAAGCGCTGTGACAGATTTATCCTGTTAGCCCTTCCCCTCTCCACCCATTCCTCCGTGTACATTTAACCTGGCAGTTATTTAAGGCTAGGCCAGCTGGGATAGAGGCGAAGCACATAGACTTACCTGATTTTGTTTCATATCATCTAGAACTCAGATGCTTTCCATTAGCACTTCATGAAGATTATTTAATATTTAAAAATCCCGGGAATAATTTTAGGTTTTTCCCTTTCTGTCACCTAATTCCTCTTAGCATCACTGTAACCACAGCTTTTCAATGGAACCCCAATCAAAATGTCCCTATTAAAATCCACAAATAATAAATGAGTGGCTGGCTCATGGTGGTGGTGATTTATCCAGTGAAAGTCAGTTTGATGAGGATGTTACGATTGCATTTGCTTGGGATGAACAGGGAGAGCTTGTAAGCGTCAGTGAGTTCAGCACAGGTGCATGCTCTCTCTCTCTCTGTTGCTTTCCTCCTCTCTGCTGCAGATCTGGAGTAAGCGCTGGGAGAGGGCTGGGTTGGAGATGGAGGGCTGAGGAACAGACTTCAGACCATTTCCTTGGCTCTAGTCAGTCTTCCCTTTATGGGTGTGGAGTGGTGCGGGCTGCTGTTGGCACCAGCATGCTGCCGGCCTGGTGGAGGAAAGAAACAAAAGACTTTTGCCAGTGCTGGAAGGGGTGTTTGTGTGATTAGAAGAAAAGACCAGGTAAACAGCAGGAGGGAGGTACGTGGGAGCCGTCTTTGCTCTGTAGAAAGAACAGTGGCTTGAAAACTGTTTCTGCTTCTTACTGGCTGGCTGTTGATGGGGAAGTCATTTCTGCTTTGTGAGTCTTATTTTCCTTATCTATAAAACGAGGGTAATAACCTGCCTTCCAGGACTATGTAAGGGTTAAAAGACCTATTGCACATAAACGGGCTATGTGGAAAACAAAAGCCTTTACAAAAATGACATTACTAAAAGGAACAAGATGGCGGAGGAGTAGGTGGACCTGGAGTACATCTCTCTCCGTGGATACATCAGGAATACACCTTCAGACGCAGAAGCGCATGCAGAGCACCAGCTGAGCGCAGGCAGGAGGACCTGACCAGTGGAAAAGAATATATAGACGCACGCAAGACTCGGTAGGACGAAGGAACTAGGGGGAAAACCAGGAGTGTTAGTAGGACTGGGCCTGCCCTCAGGGGTGGGGGAACTGAAGCAGGGGTCTGACCCCCACACTGGGGCAGCTGTCTGAGTCAGAGGAGAAACATTTAAGGCTGAGAGGGGGACAGCTGACCTGTGGCAGCCTAAATGTAGTGAGAGTCAGACAGTCCTTGCCGCAGCCATACGTACCCCGGAGAGCGACACGGGTCCCCTGGAAGGGGCAGCAGCTGGGAGCTGGAGTTTAGGGACTGTGGAGCAATCCCAGGGCAAAGGCTGCTGTTGACTGAGGAGAGATGGATTGAGGGGATGTGAAGGAGGAGAGTGTGGTGGGAAGTGCCTGTGGAGGGAGGCCGGGCAGCCATGGAAGTAAGGTGATAACTGCTGAGTCACCCATAGTGGGTGGGGCCGTCACCATAGCCTCTCTCACCCCACACACCGGCTTCGGCAGCTGAACAATAGAGAGGCTGGCCCATGAAGTGCCTACACTGAACTACTGTTCAGGGTAGCCAGGGTGCCCCTTCAAGTGCCTGACGTGCGAATCTACAGAGAAGGACCCCAGGCAAGGGAGCCCTCCAAGTGCCTGAGGGGGTGGAGCTATGGAGAAAGACTGGCCGAAAAGGCCTTCTGATCGCCAGCGATGAGAAGTTCGGAAAAAAACTCTCAGAGGGCCATAACTCCTGCAGAGGAGGCAGTCTGTGTCCCTGCACACTTGGCGCTGCCAGGGTCCCTGCAAGCCAAGCAGCTTTGCCACCTTCACGCCCAACTCTGACAGGGGCAGAGCTGCCAAGGCAAAAAAAAATTGTGTCTGTGTGCGCAGGTTTGCTTCGGTCGTGTCCAACTCTGTGACCCTGCAGACTATGGCCTGCCAGGTTTCTATGTCAGAGGGGTTCTCCAGGCAAGAATACTGGAGCGTATTGGCCAAGACTGGCTACCATACTCTTCTAGATCATTATATTTCCTGCTGCCCTAGCCACCAGCTCCCCTGAGTACCTGGTGCAGCCAGAACCCCGGTGACCCAAGCAGCTGCACCCCCTCCACACCTGGCCCTCACAGGGGCAAACCCAAGGCCTCCAGGGCAGCCTCAGGAGCAAACCCCAGTGGACAACCCACATGCAGAGGTGGAAATAAAACCACAGTTGAAACCTAGGGGTGTGTGGCTAAGGAAGAAGACCCAGAACCTTCCCACCAGCTGCACAAGCTTCAGATTAAATCCACACGATCAACTAGGCAGACTGTGTCTGTGGAATATATAAAAGCTCACTGAGAGCTCCCACAAAAGAAAACGCACTAGTTCTAATAGCTGTGGACAATGGAGGCAAGAACACACAGAAGCAGGACCAGATTAGAATCTGAGCTGCCCCCACAGCAGGTCCAGAGAGCAGCACAGCGTTGGAGGGCATCCTCGGGAGGTGAGGTGGACTGTGACTCCCAGCGAGGGAAGGACTGGGACAGCAGTGGCTGAAGACAAGCTTTCGTTATTTTTATGTTTTGACTTGTTCTGTAGATTCTTATGGATTTTTTTTTCTTTTTTCTTTTTTCTTCTTTTTATTCCCCCTCTCTACAATTGACAATTGTGGTTGTCAATTTTATTGGCACTATGAAATCTAATTAAGCTTTTGAGCTTTTTTTTCCCCTCAGTCACATTTTTTATTGTTGTTATAACTCTTTGACTCTGTGTTGGGCTTTTGCAGTTCTGTAGAGTTCTCCTTTTTTTTTTTTCTTGTTTCTCTTTTAAAAAATTTTTTAAACCTATTATTATTTTTTCTTCATTTATTCTTTTGCTTGCTTTTCCTACTGTTCTTTTCCCCTTGCAGTTAATCTTTAATGTATATAAATCTTCTTTAGCTACCTCTATTTAACTTTGCATGTCTATTCTTTCTTTCTCTTCTTTCTTTCCTTTCCTCTCAATATACTTGTTAGTTTTATTTAAATTGCTTTATTCCCCAATTGGCACCTTGGTTTATTTTGTTTTCCAGTTTGTGGTTTAGTTAGTTTTGTTCTTAACTGGTAAAGTTTTAGATTTCCTTTCT